ATTTGTAGTGTATATGAATTGATCAACAAAATTTCTAGAATTGATTTCCAAATTTGGAAATCTCCCTGACTGTATTATTTTAATCCAGGAATAAAGGATGATCCTTCCGATTTTATCCGGATATGCTGCTAAAAAATTTGGTTGGGGGTGATGTCATTAACTCTAATATTAAAGCAACTTTTATAGACGATCTGCATTGTATTAATAGGAAAAAAATATATATTTAAAAAAATTTATTAATGGAAGACAGTAAAATTCGCGAGGCGATTAAATTTTTATCTGAAGGCGATAAAGCGTAAGTTCTTGCATGAAAAATAAACATTTCTTTTGGTTTTTTAGGAAATTTGCAAAATTAATAAATAGAATGATTTATTAATTTAGAACAGAGAAGAATTGGTTTAAAAAACCAGAATGGGATATTGCAGGACAAAGATATGAAAAAGCAGGTATTACCTGCCTTTCAACGTTTTTTAAATTAAAATTTTTTTTAATTCATTGTGACTAATTTATATATGCTTGTTTAAACATTAGCTTCCAGTTTCAAAGCTGCACGTTCATATGAACAAGCAATTCAAGCTTATCAAAAAGCTTCAGATGCTTTATTCAAATCAGATTCGTATGTTAATTATAATAGTTTTAATGAAAAAAACAACTTTTTTCTTTATATAATAATAATTATTAATTATAAATAATTTTTAGATTATATATGTCAGCAAAAGCTATGGAATCTTCAGCAAATCTAGCAAGTCAACAATTAAAGCAACCTGAACGTGCTGCTGAAATGTATAAAAAAGCCAGTGATCTTTATTTAGCACATATGGTACCAGATAGAGCTGGTGAAATGTTAGAAAAGGGCGCAAGGTTCTTAATTTAACCAATGGATGGGGGTTTTTAAAAAAAGGGGATTTTTACAATTCATCATCTCACCCCTTTCATTGTTTTTTAGAGCATTGGAGCCTGTAAATGTGGATGGAGCAATAGAAATGTATATGGCAGCATGTACGTTATTCGAAACTGAGGAACGTGGAAGATTTGCAATTGACACATTCAAAAGAACCATAGCAATAATGATTAGGAATAAAAGGTTAATTGATCCATCTATTATTAATAAAATCATTCCTCTGAAAAATAACAATAATTATTTTATTATTTTTATATATTGCTTAAAATATTAATTTATATTCAATTACTAGATTTGAGTTAGCTACAGAGATATTACATAGGCTTAATGCAATATATACTGATAGCAATAATCAGCAAGGAATCAATAAAACGTGTTTAAGTATTATAATACTTTTACTGGCAACTGAAGATGAAGTGGAAGCAAAGAAACAATTTCAACTATTTTGCCTGTATTTATAATAAAATTAAATAAAATTTGTTATTTGTGAAAATTATTTTTTCATTTTCAACTTAATGTTTATTTTTATTTTATTTTTTAGAAATGCATTTGTTCAATCAGAAGAATCAGCTATAGCTAGTTTTTTATTAGATGCGTTTGAACAAGGCGATCAAGAACTTTTAGAACAAGCTGTACGTAGGCAAGTTGTCACTTTTTTGGATAATGAAGTTGTGAGACTTGCAAGGAGTTTGCAAGTTCCTGGTGCATCACATTGGCCACCTCCATCACATTCTTCACAACTACAACAACCACCGCCAATATTATCACAACAAGACCAATCCTTTAAATCTCAAAGTTCTTTATCGGAATCTGGAAATTGGAATGATTATAACAATACTAATAATATCGATATTGGTACTGGTAATATTACCAGTAGTAGTAGTAATAATATTAATGATAGTGGTAGTAGTAACAATAATAATGATATTATTGTTGTTAATAGTAACAATAATAATAATAGTACCATTATTGCTAATAATGTTGATAGTAATAATGGTAATAATAATCAAGGATCAAAGGAACCTATTACAGATGATTATTTATCATCATATTTTTTTAATAATGAAGATAATGGGAAAAAATCAATTCAGAGCAATAATAATAATAATAATAATAATCAGAATTTGCCACCACCACCACCGCCCAATAATCAGGTACCACAAGGCCACCAACAACTAAATAATCAGGTACCACACGGTCACCAACAATTAAATAATCAAACGAACATTGGAACACCAAACGAAAATATAGTTGAAGAGGAGGATGAAGAAGGTATCTGCTAATAATTTAAGACTTATCATTTTTATTATTTTCTATTTTTGAAAAAGGGGTTGATTGTTAAAAGACAAGAAGATTATTACTTGCTGCGAGTTTAGCTAACAACTTTAATATAGAAATAGTTTTCATAATAAATTATATTTGAGAAAATTGATATAAAATAGATATCACATGTGATAACACAATTGGCACTAATTTATAAATAAAGTTATTTATGGAAAGAACATTTTTAGCTTAGAAACTATACTTATATTACTTGATAAAAATTGAAGTTATATATATATATGAGTTACTACTGTATGCAAGTCAGATGCTTATAATACAATGTTTCCATTATGCACCATGATTAGGAAGATAATTGATTATATTTTTACAACATCAAATCAGAATTTTTATGTTCTGGCCATCTCTTTTTATCAATCTTTAACTGCTTTAAAAGTTCTGTGTGTCTTCTCAAAGATCACCTCACAATTAATACTGTCGATAATTGCCACCCAACTATTTTTTATCACTAACTATTATTTTATCATCATCATCATCATCATCATCATCATCATCATCATCATCATCATCATCATCATCATCATCATCATCATCATC